CGACATGCACTGTTTTCAGAACATATGGACTAGCAAGCTACATGTGTCACTGATCTTCTGTGATGATGATGAGCAACTTTTAGAAGTTGCTGAGTGCCTGTAGTTAAGGCCCTCGCCTGAGTTTCAGCAGGTCTGTGTTTGTACTGCTCAGCCTTTGGAAAGGCACAGTGGATGCTCTGCCCAGGGGTGATGGTGTTATAGTTGGGGAGAGTTAATGAAGTAGCCCCTTCATTTCTCTAGCTCCCAGGAGATGGACCTTTCAGATGACTTGCTGGACCATGGTGCTTCTGCAGCTGGTTCAGGAGGAGCTCCACTGCCCAGACAGGCAGCTGCGAGCAGCAATATCAGGAGCTCCAATAAGCTCAAATATCTTCTTTAGTAAATAACTAATACCTAATATTTAATATCTAACTATATATAAAGGATATATCTACATAAAAAATACAAATATATAAACATCAAACAGCAGATATCATTTAGATGTTTGCACACAGCATCCTCCTGGAGAAACTCCTGCTCATGGTTTGGATGGGCATACTCTTAGCCTGGTAAAAAACTGGCTGGAAGGCTGGGCCCAAAAAGTAGTGGTAAAGGGAGTTTAATCCAGTCGGTGGCCAGTCACAAGTGGTGGTCCCCAGGGCTCAGTATTTGAGGCCTGTCTTGTTTAATAGCTTATCAATGATCTGGATGAAGGGATCAAGTGCACCCTCAGGAAGTCTGCAGATGATACAAAGCTGGGTGGGAGTGTAGATATGTTTGAGAGTAGGAAGGCTTTTCAGAAGGACCTGGACAGGCTGGACTGATGGGATGGTATAATGGTATAAGGTTCAACAAGGCCAAGTGATGGGTCCTGCACCTGGGTCACAAGAACCCCATGCAACGCCACAGGCTTGTGAACAAGCGGCTGGAAAGCTGCCCACCAGAAAGGGACCTGGAGGTGTTGATCCACAGCCACCTCAACATGAGCCAGTGATGTACCCAGGCTGCCAAGGCCAACAGCACTCTGGCTCATATTAGATATAATGTGGCCAGCAGGACTAGGGAAGTGATTATGCCCCTGTACTCGGCACTGGTGAAACCATAGCTCAAGTACTGTATTCAGTTTTGGGCCCCTCACTCCAAAAAAGACATTGAGGTGCTTGAGCGTATCCAAAGAAGGGCGACTAAGCTGGTGAAGGACCTAAAAAACAAGTCTTATGAGGAGCAGCTGAGGCAACAGGGGTTGTTTAGCCTGGAGAAAAGGAGGATGAGCCGAGACCTTCTCACTCTCTACAACTACCTGAAAGGAGCTTGTAGTGAGGTGGGGATGGGTCTCTTCTCCCAAGTAACAAGAGACAGGACAAGAGGAAGAGACCTCAAATTGTACCGGGGAGGTTTAGGTGGATATTAGGAAAAATTTTGTCACCAAAAGCATTATTAACCATTGGAACAGGCTGCCCAGGGAAGTGGTGGAGTTGCCATCTCTGGAGGTGTTTAAAAGACATGTAGATGAGGTGCTTAGGGACATGGTTTAGTGGAGGACTTGGTAATGTTAGCTTAAGGGTTGGGCTTGATGATCTTAAAGATCTTTTTGAATGCAAATGACTCCATGATTCTGTTCTTTGAAATCTGGCAGCCTTCACTTCTGTGCCTCTCTTTACCATGTATAGCACTGGGACTGAATTTTCCATTTGCTGATGTTTTTCTGCTTGGCTTGGGGAAGCTCTTGTTCTTTCTTAATTCTGACCATGGTCTACAGCTAAGCCTCTTGGCTTTATTCGAAGGTGATGGGATATAGGAGCAACATAGTTATTTACTGTTGGTAGAGCCACAGTACATGTCACAGGAAGGCTGTTATCAGCATGATAACTCTCTCCTTGGCCTTTTGGAGACTAAACAAGCAATTTCTCATGCATTGCAGATGACTAATGAACTTCACTGACTTCATCCTTTTTCAGCTGAGTTATGTTCTAGGTCTAGCGAGTTCATACACAAATATTTAACCAAGCCTTTTGAGCTAGCTGGTCAAATGTCATTTGTCTGATCTGAAAACTAATGATGTGGTTCGTATCTTATCTCTAGTACTACCTGTGTAGCATGTTGCAAGCATTGATATTACATAAATTGTTGAACACTGAAGTTATCACTAAACCTTAATACATGCTGATCAAATACCTTTGTCAAATTGCTGCCAGAAATAAGGCAGAGGACAATATTGCGACTCCCTACAAGGCACTGAGGAAAGTCCTATTTGAAAGTAGTAAGAGCTTAGTAGCTGAGGTATTATTCACAGCAGAAAGGGAAAGATGGTTTCCACTGGCTACTCTGCTAACCTGCTCAATGAAAATGTTCAGTGAAATCTCACATTATAACATAAGGACATAGGAGCCTGAGGACAGATGTACTGTACAGCCATCCCCTTCTTGCCTTCTCTAAACCCTTCACAGTTTCACAGATGTGAGGAAAGAAAATGCCTTTCACAGCCTATCACCATTACCTGAGAGACAAATAAGACACTTAAAAATATATTTAAAAGAATATATACACACACGCACACACACACAAGGTATCTAAGAATATATCAATTTTAACACTTCCTTCCAGTGTCACACCACCTAAGGGATCAGTACCATTTTGGCTATGTATCTCAAAAGATGTACTGGGATGGACTGAGTGTTGGCACGTGACAGGGCCTGTTTTGCTGGCTCAAAGGAACTGAAATGGTCCCTGATGTGGTCATTTGGGCAGTACCTGTCTAATCTGACATTAATTGTCTGAAAGTCTGGATGAGCTCCCTCTCTAGTGTGTGGAGAGAAATAGGCACTGTCAGAGGACACTGACACTCATTTAATTCTCACCCACTATCAATAGGTGCTGGACAGAGACCCCAGTGCCTGAGGTGAAGAGCAGGAGAGTGGTCAGAGTGAGACCAGAGCCTAGGGAGTGATGGGGAAGGGCTCTCCTGTGAGGCGACTCCTATCCAGGTAGCATAGAAATGGGGACTTCTCACCCCTGCTGGGGATCTGGGGCTGTAAAACCCAAAGCTTCTCAACAACAGGACAGGGTAAAAAAAACAACCCACAACCTGTTTTAAACAAAGCTGTCTAGGGAGGTATTTGCTAAAGAGCAACTCCGTTTGACCCAATCCATTTTTTCTTGCCAGCATTATCCGCGGCATTGTCTTTGAGACACAGTTTCATAGATAGGAAATATCTGACCTTTGCCAATCAGAGATAAACATAAAAATAGTATCCTTTGGCACTGATGCTCATTCAGAGTAAGTTCAAGAGTTACTTCATGTCTCTTTCTTATTGCACAGAGATTTTCTTCAGTCGTGAAACTAATTGGTTTTCTATTCCAGTAATGCTCCCATTCTCTTCCTTAAGCTGCAGTTGTTATCAGCTTCTGTTCTCAACACCCCATGTCCTTTTCCTTTTTTTATTTTTCCCTACTGGAGCTTCACTTCATCTGAATGAAGATTGCTTTAGGACTATTACATGACTGACAAAAATCATCTTTAGTAACATTCACTAACCAAAGAGTAATTTATGCTCTTGACACTTCAGCAGTGTAATCAGTATAATTTTACACCTACTAAATTCTTTTTTCTCACCTTGTACCTGCTTCATCAGTACATTTCACTACAGGTTCCCTGAAACCTGAACTATGCTATTTAGTAATATGTGTCTAGTTCATGAAAGGTGTCCCTGTTATTCAGACTCTTTTCCAAGTTTTAAGGTTTAAAGAAGTTTTAGGACATCATCCACCCTCCACCAGCCTGAGTGCCTGTTGAATGTGCAGCCCTTTTCACATCCTCTTTTACAGTGGTATTTCCTCCAAGCTTCCCTGACTTGCTCTAGTCATCTCCCTATAGCTACCATGTTCAAACGTGCTCCAAGAGAGGATCAGTGTCCCCTTACACAAAGCCACATAAAAATTTGGAAATCTACAGCTTAATGACATGCCCTGTAGCTGAGGCCTGAGTGGAAAGTGGGGTGTGGCAGCAGAGGCACATTAAACCCAAGTTTGCATACATTGTTCATATTAGATCCCTAGCACTTTACCAACACTATGCATGATTAACAAATGATGTTGGGCAACAGAGTCCTGGGGTCAGTTCTTCAGTCTTAAGTGACTGTATCACTGTTGTGTTCTACTCTGCCAGAGAACACACAGAGTTCTCACCCTGTTTCTAGGGTTTTGAATCCCTGTGGGGAGGAGTGGGAAGCATAGTATTCCATTTAAGATTTTACATCGTATTAAATACTCAATATTAATTAAATCAATCATTCTATTAAGATCTGTTCAGGCTGCCTTTATCTCTCATGGATCTTCACACCTATGGATCTTCAACTAGTTACTAGAAACATCACGAAGGACACTGCAGGTTGCTGCAGGAATTTGTGATTTGGGGAGAACCCGTGGCCACGCAAACTCTGTAGACAGTACAGAGGTTTGTATGGTTTGTCTGGTTAAAAAGTCAGATTAGGACAAGCTGAGTGTGTTCCTCAGCATCTGCATGTGTTATGGGTACAACTGCATAACTTCATTTCAAAAATGGAAGCAAAATGCCTAGGAAGAACATAGAGTTCAACTACAACACTTCCCTCCACTGTGCTCAGATACTACATAGATGTCAATCTATGCATGAGGGCAAACAGCAAGAGTTCAAGCATATTCACAGCAGCCAAGCTCTAAATATTTCTGCATTTTGTGTTTCTTTTACAGCATTAGAACATGATTTCCTTAGTTTTACATGAATGATTATCCAAAAGAACACAAGCTGGAGAGGTAAAAAATCAGTATGCAAACAGAGACTTCATCTCTAGTTTGTTCATTCTTATCTTGAGTAGATTAATAAGTAATCTCATATCTCAGCAG